GGGGGGTGGGGAGGGTGAGAAGTTGGAAGGATGGATGGAAGGAAAGAAGGATACAAAGATCGGATACAAGCATAGAAGGACAGAAGCAGAGAAGGAAAGCTAGGACAGAGAGAAAGGAGGATACAATACAAACACCATAGAGGGATAAAAGGAAAGAAGGAAAGAAGGATAGGATACAAGCGAAGAAGGATACAAGGAAAGAAGGGCTGTATGAAATGGCACGCAAACAACACACAGTCACAGGAACCCCAGCACCTGGGTCCAGTAACACGTCTTCGGTATGCCAAAACACGCGTGTGCCATCACATCCGCTTGCGCGTCCGGATGGAGGTCCGATAGCGGCTTCTCAAAGCCGAGTTCCAGAACGCTGCTCGTTTGCATCGATTGAAGCGTTTGGAGGATGCGCTGTCGACTGATGTGGCGCTCTACGCGTTCAGCAGCTGCGTGGTCCGCCGCTACGGAGGAGGATAGCCACTGGCAGCGGAATCTCCTCTGATCTTCGCGTGGCTGTTTTCCCCCGAGGAGAGGAGGAGGAGGTTCATCTAGAACTAGGCCGACGTCACACAACATCATGTCGCCCCCGAAGGGAAATCAAACGGTTTCACTTCCTCCCCTGATGATGAAACTCTCCCCTCTCTTCTCTCCTACTCCATTGCACCATCTATTTTGTGGAAGCGCACACAGGGAGAGTGGCGCCCTCGCGTCTGTTAGCCTAGCGAGGCTAATCTTACGGCTTGTGAAAGAAGCGACGGTACAAACTATGTAGTCAAGAGTTTTGAACTGTGGCTTGGTCGATTTTTTAACCCTAAACCAAAAGTTGAATCTCTGTGCTTTCTGCTCCTTTATTTTGTAAAAATAGTTCATGTTAGCTAATTTGGGGTTATCAAATGTTAGCGAATACAACATTAGCAAAGCGGTGGGATCATGATTTCTGGATCGCATAAAAGCCGAAAGCAATGCTAATTAGCCTTTTTACTTCAGTCAAACACGACAAGCACCGTGACTGTTCATAAAATAGGGAAACTATTCTGTGGCTTTTGTATTTTTACTTTTTTACTTCTGTACTGATGCACGTGTTAAAATTTTTTCTTAGGTAACGGCGTTGCACGTGTACTTCTACGTTTACCAACGTTTTATTTTTCAGAAGTATCTGTACTTAAGTACAAGGTGTGAATACTTCAGCCACCTGTCCCTTCTCCTTGTGGTTTCATCCTTTCATCCGCCTCAAGGCTGCAAGCTAGCGGTAGATGGGCTGAGCTACCCCCATATCGAGCCATTACGAAGCGTCTGCTCACATTGTCACAGAGGAGGTACGAAATGTGCCAGAAAAGGAAGGAAATACTTTTTTTTCCAGATGCATCTTGTAGCATACAGTACAGTGTAGTGAAAGCTGCCTAGGCATACTGAAACGTGTGCGTGTGTGTGTGTGTGTGTGTGTGTGTGTGTGTGTGTGTGTGTGTGTGTGTGTGTGTGTGTGTGTGTGTGTGTAGCTAAACAATGATTTCATGAGGCCAATGAACACAATAAAAATAGATACGATAAACACATTTTCTCAATTAATTTGAGGGAGAATGGCAAAATTCATGCCCCTAATATGACAGGACTACGGATAATCTAAATGCAAAAATGTAAAAAGAAGAGAGCATGCTGCATGTGGCTATACTTCTTACCACTCCTACTCTCGGGAGACTTCTTATGTCTCCTTAAAGGGATCCAAATGCTGAGATGACAGAAAAGGATTCACCTTGTGTCTTCATATCACATCAAGGAAGAGCTTAAAGACTTTGATCACACAAGTTAGTGCAGCGCATTTAAAGTATGACCTTGACAGATATTTCATACAGTGGGACCTCTGAAGTGTCTGTCTCAATAACGCCTCTAAATCATATCATGGCGCCACATACCGGTACCTCACTGGAACAGAGTACAGTGAGAATCAAAGGAGTACTGGCTTTTTCTTTGGCTTTTCTGTGCCAATTGTTCAATTTCCTTACCGGTGTTTTATGGTTTTTGTCTTATCATTAACAGTAGTTGATTTGTTTTCATAGTCACTGATGGGCGTCGACGGTGTAGTGGTTTCGATGTGCCCTTGGATTGACAAGTGACCATTCGCCCAAACTCAACTGGGAAAGGCTCCAGCTCCTTGCGACCCCAAACAAGATAAGCCGTATAGAAAATGAATGGATGGATGGAACTTCTTTTTTTTCTATATACAGTGAATGATAAAGAAGAATTAAAAACTGGAATGCCAATCGGTGGTGTGCATTTCAAAATCTCACATATGGTGAAATGTTTTCATGCATTAGTCACTGAGAGATTAAAGTAATTAAATAAAAAAATATGATGATGAAGATGGGAAAAATGCAACAATGCCCCCCGCAAAAAAAAATCCTGAACCTGCACGGCCCAACCATCCACCACATTTTGTAGAAATATTTGTGTGGAAAAAAAAAAAAAAAAAAAAAAAATCATCACATTTCAACCCATAATGCAAGCGCTCCAGACATGCACGTTCGCTCACCTGCTCAATGTGAAGAAGCCTTCGTGCAGCAAAAATCTGCTTGCTTTGCCATTGGACTTGTAAGTTCACACACCTGGAAACAGAAAAACGCATGAGAAAGGTTCAATTTGTCAGAACGAATCATATAAATATACTATATGTGTAACACACCGTAACATTTAAGTCATACTCCATATTTAATATTTGTTGAAAGGATGAGTTACACTTTGGCTTGTTTTTTTTTTTTTTCTATATTAGGTTATTTTCTGGTTTATTTATCCATTGAGGATTACATTTTAAACTATATGTAACGGACACTTTGTGAGATACAACTGCACCATACAGTGATATAAAAGCAGTTAAAATAATCTGTAGACATTAAAGTCTGAATAATCTAATAACATGCTTAGCATTGTCGCTGAAGCGCCACATAATTTTATGAAAATATGAGAAACAGCTCTCACTATGATACAGTGCATTTCTGCAACCACACCCACAGACACATAAAAAAACAAAAAGAAATGTTAAACACAGTATCTCTTCAATAATGAGCATGACTATTTTCTGAAAAGCAAATGAAGCATGACATCTCATACAAAAAATGTGGACCGTGAGTGTACTGATGGTAAAGACTCCTAAACAGGAGGATCTGTCCTTGCTGCTTCAAATGTTAATTGCAATTATTTCAGCTGGGAACACGAAATGGAGGACAATCGGAATCACACACACAAACTGACACACATGGGGAGGCACACAGGCAGCGCACTTCACAAGCGATTACACAAAGTAGTCCGAGATTACATCCACCCAATATCTGACGTCCTTTGCGGATTTAAAGCCGGCATGTCAGCCTTTCAAATTTTTTCCCTTGGTTCCCTCACATGGGTCAGAGCCTGTTGCTAGGCTACCAAGCCTAGAATTCATAAGTTCAGGGAAAAGGGTTTATAGATATACTCTGTACTACATATATATAGAGAGAGAGAGAGAGAGAGAGAGAGAGAGAGAGAGAGAGAGAGAGAGAGAGAGAGAGAGAGGGAGAGAGGGAGAGAGAGGGGGGGGGCTTTTGCAATTTAAAGTGCAAAAATATAACACAGAAAAAAATAACTTTCATAACTAGTTGTTGATGGTTGGGAGCAGTGTAAATAGTCAGCAAAAATCACATTTTCTTTGTATCATCAAAAAAATGCATATTCTCAATCGCAAAATGCAAATACATCCACAATTTCTAATTTTTAAGAATAAATCCCCACGCATGATAGTATGCAGTGTGGCCCGCACTTTATGTCATCTTGTGTCAACATAGAAGGATAATTCTGCCTTTATTGTACCTGTGGAGGCAAAAAAAAAAAAAAAAGAAAAAAAAAAGGCACTATACGAGCAGAGGTGTAAAAAAGACACTGTATGTACTAGCATGTACATCTTCATGCACACACATGTACAACGTACAATCCAACAGGGGACATAAATGTGAAAACATCTACAGTATAAAACAGAGCTAGGCAACCTGAAGCCCGTGGGCTATATTTGGCCCTTGAGCGCAATTGATCCAGACTGCTTCAAAATAAATAAACCCACTGACAAACTATTATCAAAAGCCTAAAGACATTCAACCTACAAATGTTCGTCACATATAATACATGATTGCGATGTATGTTGTTGTTTTGTCATATGATAGACAATGAAGCAAATCTCCAGAGCTTCTGTCCAGTGTCGCACTTCATGACAATTTGGACTTTTTCTCAATTCCAACAATTACATGTAAAACACTAACAACAACAACAAAAATGCAAGTGGACAAATAAGCTTTTTGAATGATTTTCTTCTGGTAACATTATGAAAGACTCCCTTTCATGCATTCATGACTGTGAGTTTTCTTCCATCATAGAGCAAATACTCAACCATGATACTATTGTTATCGCTGAAAAATATAAATCAAGCTAATATTGTATCACGTTACCTGGTCCCGACTCGTAACTTTTGAGAATCATTTTTCGAAGAACAGTGTTGCATTCAAGTGTTTCTCAATAATGGGCAAGTTGCAAATGAGATGACAATTGTCAAGTGTGTCTTGATGTTGTGTTTGGTCATACGAAAACAAATACAAATCACTAATTACAGTATAATCTGTGATTATATTGTTGGGTAATGGGTAGTGACATTTTTTTCTCCCATAACGTGGAATAACAGCCATAAAGAAACAGTTATTGCCACACTTTTAGTATTTAATCCCTACAGGGTTAAACCCTAAATGGTCAACATATATTACAAAAATCATTTGTTCATTCATTGCAACGTCCTGGTGGACAACGTAGAGCAAACTAATCACAGCCAAAGCACGTGTTTTGGAATAAAAGCGGCGACAAAGCAATAAAAATGCTAAAAAGCAGACATGGGAAGTTGAGTAATCAGTGATGGAGACAATGCAGCATGGCAGGTGTTGGTGGACTAGACTAGGGCAGACCAGACTCCATCTGGTGCTGAGGGCCTAAAGAGGGCCCAGACAGACACATATATTAATGTGGGAACGTCGACGTCTAGCCTGCCAGCCTGCCTGCCTCTCCGTCATTCGCTAGACTGAATTTCGATCTCAAAGCCCACCCCCCACCTCCCCACCCCCCTTTCCCCGACCTCCCCCCTATTTATTACCCCACAGCAATGTATTCATTCCTACCACAACTGGGCAATCACTGCATGTGTTGGGTGCATGTGCAGTCAGACCATAAATAGTATTGTCAAAATTAAATGGCGCTATAAATTCGTTAGTTTGGTGTCGCAATAATCCCATTAAAGGACACACAAAGGGGCCACGCATTTAACACGCCTGTGCTACTTATCAAATCATAAAGTCCAATATTCTCGTGGATATTGAAACCCCAACTCAAAAAAGGCATGAGACACACAAGTAATGAGGTTATTCGGTTAATGAGGCAATATTTCATATCAAAACACCATTATCTGTGTCGTTTTTTTTTTTTTTTTACCAGAAAGAGATTGTATTGAGCACACATCCGGAATACAGGATGAGGCCTTGTAATATGGCACTTAATGTGGATGTAAAAAGTCTACACACCCCTCTTCAAATACCAAGTGTTTTCAATTTTAAAGTTAAAAAATTGCACAAGTGCACACACCCTCATCTAACTGGGATGCTGTGTCCAGAATTAAGTAATTCCATTCAAACAAAATGGGAGTCAGCAGACACCTCTGATTAATGCCAAATAAAGTTCAGCTGTTCTGGGTGTCTTGTTTTTCATTTGGTTTGCTTTTTAGCAGAAAGCTGAAGGCTGTGTGCGGAAACTGACAACTACTTCAGACTTAATTCCCTCTACTTTGACTTAGATCCCAGTTGAAGCTTATGAAAAACACCAATGCATGATGTTATTAGCATGCTTCACTGTCAGTAGCGCTCTTTTGGTGATGGGCGGTGTTGTTTGTGCAAAGTATATCATTTGGAATTATGGCCAAAAATTTGAACTTTGCTTTCATTGGTCTATACAACAAAATCTCCCAAACGTGGGAAAACACAACCGATTTGAACACAATTACATTGGCCGATGAGTGACCAAGTCGAAAGAATTAAGGCATTTTCTGATTGCATGAAGCCCCGGTAGACCGCTGTTGTCTTTTATTTAGTATGAATGAACCTTCAAATTACAAATGACTTTTGTAAGAAAGGGGGGCCAACAGAAAATTGCTTTTTAGAAAATATACAATATTAGTGTATTCATCCTTTGGTACTGTCACTAGATTTTATGGACTAGAAGAGTATTAAAATGTTTAGGGTCTATGCTTGTCTTTTATCACCCATAACTTGTTATGGACAATGATATAGTAAAGACTCGTCTTACAGTAGTCACATAATTCATTTGACAAAATATCACAACACTAGAGCATCGATGCTCATCTTTCAGCGTTAACATTTTCTAATGACAGTAACATTTGTGTAAATGGTTGTCGCAAGATCAACAAGGTATTTTTACGACGAACAATATTCCTGTGCCTCCTCGTCTCAGCGTTCACTCAGCTCTTTGGTGGACAACCAACCGTACAAATGCTAATCTTTTGGCACGACGACGTTATTTGATGGACTCACAAGAGTGTGAGATCCCTGTTTTCATATGTATTATTTGGCAGGAAATAACACCGTCAATACTTCAACCTTACAATATTTTGCATGCGTACATTCATCTCTCAGCACCGGCACATCTAATGACAATCTGTGTGAATGTCATTTCAGGCCGAAATATCAATCCCATTTTCTAAACACTTATCTCATCCCAGAGACACTTCTATGGACCAGAGAATTAGTGTCAATGCTCAATCGCAACATCAGACTGCAAATAAACACTTCCTGTTGTGTTTTGATTTCCTTTTACACATTGCACACAGTCAATGACATCACAATACATCCTGGTTACTGATCACATGACACAAAAAGAGCGCTATCCTTGCTAACACTAACTCGTTCTCCACTGTGACTCAGCGACGTGACACTTTATAGGAGCTATAGCCGCAGCTCTACAGCAGGTCCAGCACTGCACTGTGACTTGTTTAAAATTCAACAGGCCCTTCTAACACAATACATCCAGAGCGGAACAAGGATAGGTGCTTTTTTTTTTCCCTTCGGATGAAAAGAGAAAAAAAATTGATGGGCATTATTTTAAAAAAAAAAATAGACTGACCTTGGTCTCTCTCTAATCTTACCTCTCAAATCATACAGACGGGATAAATTTGTGTATACAGGTGTCACATGAAATACTGCAATGTAACATACAGGGAAGCTTGGGAGTGGTAAAGAATGCATCTGGGACTTAGATGGGCTAAGGTTTGATTCCCTGGACCACCGTAAAAGCCAAGTTCAATGTTAGCCTCTCTACGTTAACGTAGGTAGGTGTTTTGACTCCTTAAAACAAGACAGGCCTTGCACATGCAGCCTGGATCAGACTAAATCCTGGGATGAAGGGGATGAATTACTGTCTTCAATAGATTTCAATTTCAGGGTCATTATCAATGGGGGGAGGCAACTATCACATAGTGTTCATTTGTGGGTTAAATATTTTGGGATGGCAGCATAGTAACCTAATGGTTAGGTTTGTTTCCTCTCACATGCCCAAAACATGCAGGTTAAATTCATCCAAGGCTCTAAATTGTCCATAGTTTTATGCGACCCCAATGAAGACAAGCCCTATAAAAATTTGATGAGACTTTACATGCAGACCATGCTAAATTAATGCAAAAATATGATCCAACAATTTTAAAGTGAAGGCATCTGAGTTTTAATTGAACTGAATGTCAAGCCAGCCCCACATATTGTCCATGGTCTTTAGGTTGCACACCCTAGGAATACACACAACCCTGTTGAGTACACCTAGTAGGACAACTCCAATTGGATGGCACCCAACCAGATGCAAAATTCCATCATAAAATCTCCTCATACAAGATAAAGGTGCATTTCTTTCCTGCCGTGACAGGTACGATGCATTTTTTTGGAGTAGGGGTATGTTGGTGCAGTGGACCAATCAGAAGGCTCTTTCGGCTGACACATCCGCGTCCATATCAAGCCATGCATACAACAATAAGACAACTGGCATTATAACAGAAGACATGCGTGTTCAAATGAAGCAGCACCTCCTTCATGAATGGAACCTCCCCCACGGCATGGTAGTCACTCCACAAATGCACAGCGCCATGAATACCCCCAATTTTTTGTATTGAGTACTCCAGGTTGCACGGCAATTTACACTGTACATCCAAAAAATCGGGTAGGAAGGTGGCAGGGAAGGAGGTGTCTTTTTTTTCCCCACGCGATCTACGCGGATGACGTTTGGTGCTTCTCGGTCCTCCATCGCCACCCTCGTTCTCATGATCTCTCCATCCATCCTCGCAGCCATCCTTGCACGTGACGTCTGCGGGATTAGTTTCTACATTCGGTTCTCTAGCTTTATGATATTGCATAAACTCATACAGCTAGATAACCAAAGAGAAAAACTAACCCACATCTCTCTTAAAGGAGCCGCCGCCGGCGCCGACGCTGCAGCGTGTTGTGGTCACGTGGGAGACAGTCCTCTTCCGCCCCGCCCCTCCCCTCGCTCACCTTCCTTTTTTTAATCAGGCAGTTGCGTTCACTGCCCGTCGTAATTAGCAAAACTCCTCGGCGACACAGGTCACACTTGTGCAACCCCGCCACAACTGAACATTGACGACAAGAGCAGTCACGGAAGCTGATATCATCACATCGATGATGTCACACCCACCTGCCGTACGTCGTCACACACAAACGAGCGGTGACTAAGTCTGGCGTAAAACCCACGCGCGGGTCGTGCAGCCTTTTAAATATTCGCAACAAACAAGAAGCATCAAAACGTGTTGCTGGCGTCAAATGCTACCTTGCATCGGCCCTATTTTAGACACACACACACACACACACACACACACACACACACACACACACACACACACACGCACACACGCACACACGCACGCACACGCACACACACGCACGCACACCCACGCACACGCAAACCGCACTCCACAGTGAAATAATCCACAGATTGTTGGACAACACCACAAATATAAAGTAACAGCAGCTATATGTCAACACATGTTCACTAGCGATGGACAAGGAGAAACTGTGTGAAACATACACTCAACAGAAGTGTCTAAAATGTATTGAAGTGCACTCTAATATTGCATCGACAAAAAAATAATATAGATTCAGGTATGGCGAAGCCTATGGAACGTTTTCTTAAATGTTGTAGTGAAAACAAAATTCCAAATATTGAGGTCAGTTAATTCCAATGATTAGAACTTTTTTATAAAAATGACTACGGTTGAAATCCACCAGACTGACAGCGGGTCGCCCCGAACTTGTAATCCGTAATGGGAGCCTCCCTCCCCGGCCTCACCCAGCCGTGGTGGCCGGCGACCCACGTGGTAGTGAGTGATTGGTATCAAATTATTAAAAAAGCTTTAGCGTATCAAAGCACCAGCAATGCGGTTTTTATTTTTACTCCTATAACTGCAGCAAAGTCAGAAGAAAAGGAAACCAGTTCGTGTAAGAAAGAAGCCGAGCAAG